CCACTTTAATCTTTTGAACCTTTTAAACTATTCATTAGAATTTATAGCCGTTGTAACTCCATCATTACTAATTTGAATATATTTCCCTCCATTATTGCAAATTTGAATATCTTCCACTTGAATCTTTTGAACCTTTTGAACTGCTACTGTGCTAAGTTGTTTGAACCTCTGTTTTGTGCTGTTTGAACTCCTGATTTAATCAAATATTAAATACATTCTAACAACATTTAGGATAAAGGCTTAGGTGAGAAATAATAGGACAAAATAAATTTTGATTCTATTTTTCTCTTTCAAATAAATTAAAACATAATTAAATAAATCATCAAAATAAATAAGTCTAACAAATATGTAAAAATAGAAATTACAAGTCTAACAAATATGTACAAATATGTAAAAATAAATAAGTCTAACAAATATATCAAAATAAAAATTTATTAAAAAAAATAAATATAAATATATTATTGTTGTATCATCATATAATTATTTTATATGATATATATATATATATATATTAAATTATAAGATTGTAAAATAAATACTCTTAATTAAATTAAAATATTAACTATATAAAATAAATTCAATAACGACTAATCAACAAAAAACCACATAACAACATCCAAACGATATATACATCTCAGTGTGTGAAGTGATTAATCATCTATAATATGATGTCAAAACATAAAATAACTTATTGTTCAACAATTGAAAAAGTAACTCAAGCAGTAAATCCAAACTTTAGAAATTCCTGTAGAGTATCATTGTTGTGCAGGTTTTTATTTTTGTGAGTTGTGATTATATAAAATAATATATGAAATGAAATATAATTTCATATATAAAATCACTATAAAATTTAAATAACAAATCCACAATATAGAATTGGTACCAGGAAGAAAATAATGCACACGAAAAAAAAAAAACAGTTTAGCATTAAAAAAATTAATACCCTTGAAAGAATTTAAATAAGTGAATCAATAATGAAAGTTTAATGTTTGGTGACGAAAGAAAATCATCGCTAAATATGCCATTTCTTTTGGTGTCTAATAGTTTACTGACTTTACTAAATAAGTTTTGATGATGCAACACATTTCAAATGGAACGGGTCGGACTGATCTATGCTTCTCAAACCCGTGTCCGAATGACCAAGCCCACAGAGGAACCTGCACAAGAGTTCAACGGGAAACGGAGAGTCCCCCAGCGAACCCTCCAGCGAGCAAGTTAGAAAGAGAGATGGAATGTAGAGATAGATTAGAGATAGAAAGCTTCACATTCTTCTTGTCTTCGACGTCTGCTTATATCCTCTGGTAATCATTTCGTTGTCCCTTCCGACCTGTCATCTTGGCCGAAAGTCTATGCTCTAGCTTACCTTGTTCATGGTGAGGCTGTTCTGTCTCGACGGGGAGGGGTTATCGCAATAAATGCTGTAAGGGGTTTCATTAATAGCTGATATGCAGTGCAATAACTTTATAGGATCTTTGTCTGCTTATGCAGCTTGTCCTTCACTTGCCACGTGTCTAGGTGTCATTGGTTCTTAATGCCATGTCGAGCTCTAGCAACGCTAAGCTTTAGTATTTGAATTATGCACTAGGCCCTAAGTGGTGGGCTATAACCTTTATGGGCTTACCCATGTTAGTAGCCCCTCATTCCCAAGTGCAGCTTTAGTCTAATGAAGGGAATAATGAAGAAGACGATGGTTGTGAAAAACCGGGGGGGACGAAGATTGACCGATAGGTGGGCCGACGGCGATGGGTGGCTGAACGAAGGGACCGACCCTAAGGAGGGGCGACCGCAAAGGGTGACCGAGTAGAAGGTCCGACCATAAGGAGGGCCAACCGCAAAGGGTAACCGAGTAGAGAGACCGACCATGAGGAAGGCCGACCGCGAAGGGTGATCGAGTGGAGGGACCGACCATGAGGAGGGACGACCGGGAAGGGTGACCGAATAGAGGGACCGACCATGAGGAAGGCCAGCCACGAAGGGTGATCGAGTGAAGGGACCAACTATGAAGAGGGTCGACCGGGAAGGGTGACCGAGTGGAGGGACCGACCATGAGAAGGGCCAACCTTGAAGGGTGACCGCGAGGAGGGACCGACCATGAGGAGGGCCGACTGAGAAAGGTGATCGAGTGGAGGGACCGACCATAAGGAGGGCCGACCAGGAAGGGTGACCGAGTGGAAGGACAAGTGGCGGTGCGCAGGGCTCGAGGAGTGGTCGGGTACGTGGTGATTTGAAGTGGAAAAGATAGGGTAGGAGAAGGGGGCAGGGGATCGTGGTCGTACACGTGTGGGAATCCCGTAATGGGAGAGGTTAGGCGTTGGGCCAGAAACGAAAGGGTAGGTTAATAGAGGGTGTGGAAAAGGCTGTTTTGGCAAATTTTTGAAACTTTTCAAGCTGGCAAAATTTAATTGTGACCCTTAGAATACAGGCAAGCCTTGGGCTTTTGGTCGCTTTATCTATCTTTTCTCAAAAAACCAAAATGTTCCAAAGGTAAACTCGTTTCTTTCCAGTGACACACCTCTGTAACATTTTGTGAACTTTCTTGTGCCCGCGTCCGAGGCCATTCGCAGACACACAAGAGAAATGGCTCGAGAGGATGCGCCCACCGTGAGACTAGATGCGTTGGGGGATGATGACGCGGTGGACCTGGCGAAGCAATACAAGACAGAGAGGCGAGTAAGAAGCGAGGGAAGGCTGGCAGGTGACCTCGTTCGTCCACACTGATGTCGGCTGCGAAGCCAGTCAGTCAGGTTAAGCCAGATCACTGGCACACAAAGGCCGACAAGTCGACCGTGACCGTGGAGGAGTTGGTGGGTATGCGTGAGAAATATCAAATTTCCACGGAAATAAAGTTAAAGTTGCCGACACCGAAAGAGAGGCCATCCGACGCCTGACCGGGGGAGTTTGCCCTCTATGAGGAGGCGTTGAAGGGAGGGTTGAGATTGCCGCTTTCGCAGGCGGTGGTGGAGGTGCTAAACCAGTTAGAGGTGGCGCTGGGTCAACTAATGCCCAATGCGTTGAAGATTTTGCTGGCCTGTGCAAGCGCGTGGCTGCGGGCGAATGAGGGGGCAACGATAGCGGTGGACGAGTTTTTTGCAAGCTACAAGGCTTCGGGCCAGCAAGAAACTTGGGTCACTTTGCAAGTGGTGGCAGAGAAGGGTCTGGTGGCGGGTTGCCGTCGTCAATTAAGGGGTGGAGGCCACAGTGGTTCTATGTGTCCACAAACGGAGGAGTTGGAGTGCGTACGATGTGGAGAGTGCCCACCAAGTCTATGGAGCCAAGGCTGGGGGCAGCAGCGAAGGAGAGGGTGAAGAAGGTAAAGGCACGGAGACAGAAGGAGGGCGCCAAATAGGACGACCTTGTGCAGCCCTCAGCCTTGTTTGCCTCAAAGCTAGGCCCTCAGCCGACCGGTGGAGATCTTGCACCGGCAGAACTAGAGGCGAGAAGGAGGGCGCAGGAAGCGGAGGATAGGGCGATTTTTGCCAAGGCTAATAAATTCAAAGAAGCACAGCTAGGCCGTCTGCCAAAACCAATCGTGAGGGAAAGAATTCGACCGCGCCCCAAGTCGCTGGGGAAAAAAGACTTGAGCGGTTTTGAGCCACGACCGCCCCCAGTAGATCCGTTGAAGGAGAGAGGCAACAAGGAGGTGGAGGCTGTGTTGAAGAAGAAGAAGAGAGTAAGGGAGAATGAGGAGGGGCCAGTCATGAAAAGGATGAAGGAGGTCACGGTGGATGAGACCCCCGAAGTGGGGTTGGAGGAGGCATCAAAAGGGATGGAGAGTGGGACGACTAGCCTTGAAAAACAAGTTGAAGATGGGGCAACTGGCCCTGAGGAGGGGCAAAGCAATAGCCAAAAAGGGGGCCTGCCCCCCAAGGAGAGGGAGAGGGGGTCAAGTTGGAGACTGCTATCTACCACGCTCCAGTAGTGTCTGGGCAGCTGGAGGGAGAAGGAGGCCCAGCCAGGACTGCTGCTGCCCGGCTCTTGGGCGTGGTGGAGGATGCAGCAGTGCATTTGATGGCCTGTTTAACTAAGGCCGAACTGCTAAGGGGGTTGTCCTCTACTTAGATGGAGGCGACTGCTTTAGCAGGAGCCCTACTGAACAAGACGGCGACTGTAAAAGGCAAAGTGAGGCCACTGAAGGAAAAGCTAGAGGAGGTGGAGGCCCAACTTGAAGTTTGAGGAGGGAGAATGCAGGTCGGAGGAAGACCGCGCGGAGTGCATGTGTTAGGGGGCTAAAAGAGGCCCAGAAAGCCAAGAAAATGGAAGTGTGGGCGATAGTGCAGGGCTATTCAGCCAACCGAGCCAATGCTGAGCTGCTCGCGACCAAGTTAGAGCTGGAGGCGGAACGCGGCAAGGTGGTGTCGCTCGAGTTCCAATTGGGTGGCGAGCAGCGACTGCTTTAGTAGGAGCCCTACTAAACAAGACGGCGACTGTAAAAGGCAAAGTGAGGCCACTGAAGGAAAAGCCAGAGGAGGTGGAGGCCCAACTTGAAGTTTGAGGAGGGAGAATGCAGGCCGGAGGAAGACCGCGCGGAGTGCATGTGTTAGGGGGCTAAAAGAGGCCCAGAAAGCCAAGAAAATGGAAGTGTTGGCGATAGTGCAGGGCTATTCAGCCAACCGAGCCAATGCTGAGCTGCTCGCGACCAAGTTAGAGCTGGAGGCGGAACGCGGCAAGGTGGTGTCGCTCGAGTTCCAATTGGGTGGCGAGCAGAAGAAACTAGAAGAGGCCCAAAAGGCCTACACCGTCGCCAACGAAAGGTGGGACGAGGCCATGACCTGTAACGAAGATCTACGTGCTCAGTCGATCAAAGAAAAAGAAGAAGCAGATCTGAAGATCATTGAGTTGGAGAGGGCGCTGGCAGACGAGTGGGCCAAGTCAGTGGAAGAGAAGGCGGGGTTGGAGAAGGCCTTAGAGGAGGAAAGGGCCAAGTTGGCATCTGAGAGGGCGGCGTACCCCATCTGTGTGTTGCAACGATAGAGCAGTTCAAGGGGTCCGCCGACTTTCAGATGGCCATTGATGCTGCCATCGCCAACAACTTGGTGAGGGAGGGAGATAGGGGGGTTGGCCCGTCTGGAGCGGCCGCTGGAAGCAGGAGTGAAGAGGAAGTGATCCAGAGCTTCCAGCGGTCAGACTTCTACAAGCATGAGATGACTGAGTTCTGGGACAGTGGCTGGAAGACTTTCAGACGCAAAGCAGAAGAGTTGTTCCCAGACTTGGACTTCAGCAATGTAAAAATAGATGAAGACGACGTGGCCCAGACCCCCCTAGACGAGGGTGTTGAAGAAGAAGACCTTGCCTCAAACAAGAATGAATGAGTGATGTGAATAAAATTTGCAAAGAAAATTTTGGTTGTTGTGGTTTTGTTGTTGTTTTTTTTTTTTTTTTAATTTCTGTTGTGGAAGTTTGTAAATAAATAAAATTATAAGAATGAGAATTTGTATTTTTTCATGTTGTTGGCTTTATTTCCTGTAAATCTGAAAAGAATGAGAGTGGTCACTCAAATAAAGCTTATGTATAAATCATAGTAAAGGTTGAGAAGTAGGGAGCCAGTCTAACCATAATGCAAAGTGAAGTTTAAAATGTGAGAATGTTAAAAAATGTGAAGTTTCAAATCACGACCCAATAGGGAGCTAGTCTAGCTTGTAAAACGTTGAATTGTAAAGGTCCTAAAATGTGAAGTTTTAAATCATGTTGTGAGAGTGTTGATAAATAAAAGGTTGAATTGGGAAATGAAAGTTAAAAAATGTAAAGAATGTTAAGAGGCGTAAAAGCATAGACCTAGAATTTGACTAAGTATGGCAACTATGCCACAATCATGAAGTTGCAAGAATGGCCTCTGCCGAGCTCTACATTCGTGCTCAGTTTGGGTTGAGCCATAATTAACTCAGTCTGGTTGACTCTTCAAGTAACTCAGTCTGGCTAAGCTCTTCACGCTCAATCTAGCTGAGGCTTTAAGTAACTCAGTCTGGCTGAGCCTTTCGTACTCAGTCAGACTGAGCCCTGGCTGAGGCTTTAAGTAACTCAGTTTGGCTGAGCCCTTCGTGCTCAGTCTAGCTGAGGCTGTAAGTAACTCAGTCTGGCTAAGCCCTTCGTGCTCGGTCTGGCTAAGGCTGTAAGCAGGGTGTTATTAAAATACCACATAGATAACTGAGATACAAGATTGTTGTCATTTAAAGTGCAGCCCATTTGATCATAAATTTACACCATGTGGGAAGAGAATAAGAATATTCAAGTGTGTAGATTGTCAAAAAAAAATACAGCAACTGATCAATACAAAAGTAGGGCTTTATTGAAAATAACGCTTCAAATGCTCGGCGTTCCGTGGATGGGGGAGATCTCGACCTTCCATGTCCTGAAGTCGGTAAGTGCCCGGACGAGGTCTGGCCTTAACAACGTAAGGTCCCTCCCACTTGGCTGCCAACTTGCCCTCAGCCGGATTTTTGGTGGCAAGAGTTGCTTCGCACAAAACAAGGTCCCCCACGGCGAACTCCCTCGGTCGGACTTTGCGGTTGTAGTGTGTTCTCATTTTCTGTTGATATGAGGCCCGCTAGACAGCGGTGGTCTCTCAGAGCTCTTCAATCAGGTCTAGGTCGGCTCGACGCAGTTCTTCAGTGAGTTCTGGATTTGGGTGCAGAACCCTCGGGGTAGGCAAACCGATTTCCACTGGGATGACCGCCTCAACGCCGTATGTTAAGCAAAAGGGGGTCTCCCCGGTAGGGGTTTGGGCTATAGTACGGTAGGCCCAGAGTACGTTTGGTAATTCCTCAGCGCAAAGTCCCTTAGCAGTTTCCAGCATAGTTTTGACGATCTTCAGAAGAGAACGGTTGGTAACCTCAACTTGGTCATTGGCTTGGGGATGACCTGGGGAAGAGAAACATAGCTGGATTTGAAGTTCTGCACAGAATTTCCTGAACTTGGCATTGTCAAATTGTTTGCCGTTGTCAGAGACAATGGCTTGAGGGATGCCAAACCGGCACACGATCGACTGCCAGATGAATCTGGTGGTGTTCCGCTCGGTAATTGTGGCAAGGGGTTCCGCCTCTACCCATTTAGTGAAGTAATCAATGGCGATGATTGCGAATTTGGTTTGGCCTTGGCCAGTGGGCAATGGGCCAACTAGGTCGATCCCCCATTTAGCGAATGGGTAAGGACTGCAAAATGTGATCAAATTTGTAGGAGGAGCATGAGGGATGTTGGCAAAGCGTTGGCACTTATCACATTTAAGCATGAATTCAGTGGCATCTTGGTTGAGAGTAGGCCAGAAGTAACCAGTGCAACGTATTTTGTGGGCTAGTGACCTGGCACCCGAATGATTGCCACATACACCTTCGTGGACTTCTCTCATCATGTAGGTCGCTTGAGTAGGATTGAGGCATCTCAGGTGTAGGTGTGAAAAGCCACGTTTGTACAAGAGACCGCTGATAAGAATGTAGTTGGATGATCGGGCCTTGACTTTGATGGCCTAGTGCTTGTCGTCTGGCAATTCCCCCTTTGTCAAAAATAGAAAGATGTCGGTCGCCCATGGAATAGGTTCGTTTTAGAGGAAGTGGGCTTGTTGCTGGTTTGGGGAAATGGCAGGGTAAGCCAGATATTCGAGGCGGACACCATAGCTGAGGTCTGACTGGTCGGTAGAAGCTAACTGAGCCATTTCATCTGCCTTGGAATTTTTCGTCCGAGGAATGTGCTTGATGTGGAAATTATTGAAGAGGCAAGCAAGAGGGAGTGCAATATCCTTGTAAGCCAGCATTGTGTCTTCCTTGGCATCGAATTCCCTCGTGATTTGTCCGATAATGAACTGGGAATCGCTGAACACTTGGATATGGTTGACACCAATGTCTCTGGCGAGGCGGAGACCTGCGATGAGTGCCTCATATTCAGCCTCATTACTGCTTGCGTTGAACAAGAAGCGGAGAGCACACTTGAAATAACCACCCTCGGGGGCGGTAGGGATGAGACCAGCCCCACTGCCTTCTTTGCGGGATAATCCGTCGACGTTGAGGGTCCAAGAGTGAAGGTCTTCTAGCTCAGTATGGAATTGCGGGAGCCGTGATTGGAGTGGGATTAGTGAATTCTAGGATAAAGTCAGCAATAGCCTGCCCTTTGATCTCCATTCGAGGTCGGTAGGAGATGTCAAATTAGCTGAGCTCGACCGACCATTGCATAAGTCTGTCGGACAGCTTTGGTTGTTGCAGTATCTTCTTCAAAGGTTGGTCAGTGAAGACCACTATGGAGTGGGCTTGGAAGTAGGGACGGAGTCGTCTTGAGGCGGTGACCAAGGCCAAGGACATTTTTTCTAGCAATGGATAATTCTGTTCTGCGCCTCTGAGAGCCCGACTGATGTAGTAAACCGGGCGTTGAACTGAATCGTCCTCCCTGATGAGGGCCGCACTGACTGTGGTGCTTGATACGGCTAAATAAAGAAAAAGGGGCTCACCCGTGAGCGCCTGGGAGAGTAAGGGGGGGTTGGCCATGCACTGCTTCAATTGTTAGAAAGCCTCTTCGGACTCAGTCGTCCACTCGAAAGTCTGCCGAAGAACTTTGAAGAAGGGGAGGCACTTGTCAATTGCGCGGGAAATGAAATGGTTGAGGGTGGCGACTCTGCCAGTAAGCCCCTGAACCTCCTTAACCGTTCTGGGTGACAACATTTCTATCAAGGCCTTGATCTTTTCGGGGTTAGCTTCGATGCCCCGTTGACTAACCATGAAACCCAAGAACTTTCCAGACCCTATGCCGAAGGCGCATTTCTCCGGATTGAGCTTCATTTGATACTTTCGTAAGGTGCCGAAGGTCTCTCGCAGGTCGGCCAGATGATTAGTGGAGAGTTTGCTCTTGACTAGCATGTCATCGACGTATACTTCCATCTTCCGGCCTATCTGATGATAAAAGACGGCATTATCCAGCCGTTGGTAAGTGGCTCCGGCATTTTTCAACCCAAATGGCATGACACAATAATGGTAGGTTCCCCGGTCGGTGATGAAGAAGGTGTGTTCACGGTCAGACAGGTGCATCAGAATTTGGTTGTACCCAGAGAAGGCACCCATGAAGCTAAGCATTTGATGACCGACTGTGGCGTCAACAAGCAGATCTATGCGAGGAAGGGGATAACTGTCTTTGGGGCAGGCTCGGTTGAGGTCGGAGTAGTCGACACAGAGTCACCATTTGCCATTGTTTTTACGAACCAAGACCACGTTTGACAGCTATCTGGGGTAGTCCACGTTTTTAATAAACTGTGCCTCAAGGAGCTTATCTACTTCAGAAGTGATATGAGTATTGCGCTTCGGGTGAAAGATGCGCTGCTTCTAGCGGAAGGGTCAGAAATGGGGCTCAATGCTGAAACGATGGGTAATGAAGAAGGGGTCAATACCCGGCATATCGGAGTGGGTCCAGGAAAATACGTCGTTGTGCTCAATCAAAAGGGTCGTAAGGTCGGCCTTGGCCTAGAAGGATAGTTGGCTGCCGATCTTGGCAGTTTTTGTCGGGTTGGTGGGATCGATGAGGACTTCGACAAGCTCTTCCACTGGTTCCCCTCTGACCAGCTCGTCCTCGTCTCTGACATCGAGTCCTTCAATGATCATAGCCTCCTTTAGCTTGACTTCTTTAAGTGAGGCGACGTAACATTCCCTGGCCACGGTTTGCTCTCCCTTTACTGTGTCGACCCCCAAATCGGTGGGGAATTTGACAGCAAGGTGAAAAGTGGATGTGATAGCTTGGAAAGCATTTAGGGCAGTGCGGCCGAGGATGATGTTGTAAGTAGAGGAACAGTCGACGACAAGGAAGGTGAGCAGCTTTGTGGTCTGCTGCGGGTATTCGCCGATTGTGATGGGAAGATCGATGGAGCCGATGGAGGTCACCCGATCTCCAGTGAAATCGACCAATGGGGTTTGGAGAGGGGATAGACTTTCTTCCCCGACCTTGAGCTGGCGAAAGGCATTTAGGAAGATGATATCTGAAGAACTGCCGTTGTCGACGAGAACCCGTCTGACTGTGTAATTGGAGTGGAAGACAGAGATGACGAGGGGGTCGTCATGGGAGTAACGGATGCCTGTGCAGTCGGCCTCCGTGAAGGTGATGGGCTCCATCCAATGCTTGGGCTGTTTGGGAGGGTAGTCCAATGTGGCAACTTCTTTGTCTAAGCCCTGCCTTATTCTTCTAAGTTCTGCCCGCTGAGCCGAGCGAGATGGTCCTCCACAAGCAAGCCCACCAGCAATAACTCTGATTTCTCCAACAAGGGGGGTGGGGTTACCTTGTGCCCGTGGTTGCTGCGGAGGGCGATGATGACCTTGGTTAGGTTGTGTTGGTTGCCGGGGACGGGTGCGCCGGCGATTGTTTCTGATGGGTTCAATCCTTTACCTCTGCTGAGGATAGGCTTCCGTGAATCGAATGAGACGTCCCTGACATATCAAGCCCTCGACCTGGTCTTTGAGGTTAACACACTCCTCGGTATTATGGCCATGGTCCTGGTGAAAACGACAGTATTTGGACTGGTCTCGCCGGTTGGAAGGAGACCGTGACGGTTGGGGCCATTTTAGGGGATAGTTTCGTTGAATCTGGTTTAAGACTTGTTCCATAGGGGAGTTAAGGGGTGTGTATCATTCGAACTGGCCGGGCAGTCGGGTTGGCGCCGACCGATCGGCTCGGGGTGGTCGGTCGATATACTGAGGTGTTTGGTGGGTGTACTGGGTGTTTCTGGTTTCTGAGTCCTTTCTCTTCTCTCTAGGGATCGGGTTTTTGGCTATAGGATCTTGTCGGGCGGCTGGAGAGTCTTCAGCATTCATGTATTTTTGGGCTTTAGAAAGTAGGGTTGCCATAGAGGTCGGGGGGTTTTTGGAGAAGGAAAAAAAGAAATCAGATAATCGTAGACCGGCCATAAAAGCCGTAAGAATGACCTTGTCATCGTTTTCTACCACCTGCAAGGCCTTGGTGTTGAAGCGGGTGACGAAGTTGCACAGCGACTCTCCCTCCGTTTGACAGATGTTAAGAAGTTGGGTTGCCGGACGCCGCTGGCGCTGGGCACCAATGAAGTGGCTGAGGAAGGAGTCACTCAGGTGTTGAAAGGTAGAGACAGAGTCCGTAAGTCTGGCTGACCCCTTAAGTGTTACGGGGAAAGCCCGACACATGATTTCATCAGGAAATGCATAGAGGATCATAAGGGTCTTGTAAGTCTCCAAGTGATCGACTAGGTCCGTTGTACCATCGAAAGAGTCAATCGAGGGCATTTTAAACTTAGGAGGTAGAGGTTTGTCCCTGATGGAGGCAACGAATGGTGAGTTGGCTGTGGTAGATGGTTTATGCTGTTTGTTCAATATGACTCCCTGAAGCTGGAGCTTCATGGCTCGGATTTCTACATCCCAGAGAGGAATGTTGTCACCACCGGAAGGCAGCGGAGGCTGGACGCTACTGGCCTCTCCTTCGGGGGTTGGTGCCGGGACCGATGGATGTGGGGCTCGGGGTGGACGGTTTATATCTGGGGGAGGGGGTGGCAAGCCTTCCAAGTTAGGTGGATGGGGCTGCTGGATAGTGTATCTGGAGGTGGTGGAGGGGGCATAGGAAGGTTTCTTTGGAGTAGAGCATCAATCAGGGCTTGGTTCTGCTCGGCCAAGCGGTTAATGCTGTTGGTGAGCTCGGTGAAATACTGCGGTGGGTTGTTTGGATTGGGAGGGTCGGCTTGGTGGTCGACAACATTGTGGTGAGAAGCCATGGATCTAGTTGTGACCATCCACATTGGTGGGTGGCAAGAAAGGGTTATTGGGAAAGGGTCTCCGGAGACAATGAGCACAACTGGCGCACGGAGCGAAAGGATTTCCCACAGATAGCGCCAACTGATGATGCAACACGTTCCAGATGGAACGGGTCGGACTGATCCACGTTTCCCAAACCCGTGTCCGAATGACCAAGCCCACAGAGGAACCTGCACAAGAGTTCAATAGGGAATGGGGAGTGCCCCAGCGAACCCTCCGACGAGCAAGTTAGAAAGAGAGATGGAATGTAGCGATAGATTAGAGATAAAAAGTTTTACCTTCTTCTTGTCTTCGACGTCTGCTTATATCCTCTGGTAATCATTTCGTTGTCCCTTCCGACCTGTCACCTTGGCCGAAAGTCTACGCTCTAGCTTATCTTATTCATGGTGATGTCGTTTTGTCTCGACGGGGAGAGGTTATCGCAATAAATGCTGTAAGGGTCTTTATTAATGACTGATGTACAATGCAATAGCTTTGCAGAATCTTTGTCTGCTTATGTGGCTTGTCCTTCACTTGTCACGTGTCTAGGTGTCATTAGTTCTTAATGCCATGTCAAGCTTCAGCAACGCTGAGTTTTAGTATTTGAATTATGCACTGGGCCCTAAGTAATGAGCTATAACCTTTATGGGCTCATCCATGTCAAGTTTCATTCCTCTCTTCCCCATCTGGTTACTAATTGTAATAAAAAATAATAAATTATAAATATATTCTCTAAGATTTGTTTAATATACAAATTGTCATTTATAATTTTAAAAATTACATTCTATCCATTTATATTTATAATCGCATAACAAATGACATCTTTTATTAATAAATTATTAAGTTAATTAATGATTTTTAATGATGTTAGAAATATATTTTAATTAACAATTTAGATAATTTTATTGTTGTATAGGAGAGTAGTTAGAAATTTTATTTTTATAACTAATTCTATTAAATAAAAAATTCTAACAATGGAATATTTGTGATTTTTAGAACCATAAGGAATAATCTATATTTTAAACCAATCCTAAGAGATTTATTTTTAATTTATCCTAAAAAATGGTTTTCACCTTGGGTTTTTTTTTTTAAAAAAAAAAGGTTTTCTTCCTCTCTCTCCCATCCAATCACCACCCACAACCAACACCAACTCCCTAGCTCCAATCCAACCACCACCTCCGACAACAATTCCCTGTGACCACTAGCAGCCAGTCGACCACCACAACTTATGAGTCCCGCTCTCTCTGATGACCGTTAACCGACTTCAATACTCCTCTCATTTTCTTTTTTTTTATTATTTAAGTATAAGCTTTTGAAAATATGTGTAACAACATCTAACTCAACTGATCAAGTAGTTATGAGTAGAGGACAAGTAAAGTATATTAACCAAGTTTGAGTGATTTAGAAAGATGATATTAGACAAATCTAACAATATACATATCAAATATGATTTTTGTTATTGTTTCTACTAAAAAAATTAATCACATTATCACTTTATATCTCCCTATAACTCCATATTAACATGACCACTTTTCTTTTTTCTTTTTTTTTTTCTTTTTTCTGTTTCTATAGATGAGCATGATCATTAACGAGTCTTTAAGACTGTATCCTCCTCTCACAAACTTCATAAGAAAAGTTCATCGAAATGTCAAATTGGGAAATCTAGTCCTTCCAGCCAACATAAACTTGTCGATTTCAACATTGGCATTATCGTGATCCTCAAATATGGGGAGAAGATGTGCATCTCTTCAAACTGGAGAGATTTTCAGGAGGAGTTGCTAAAGCTACCAACAACAACTCATCGGTATATATTCCCTTTGGTTTGGGAGCTCGAAGTTGCGTAGGCACGAACTTTGCAACTAATGAATCAAAGATTGCTCTGTAGATGATTCTACGACGCTATGCGTTCACTCTCTCCTGCATATCTTGTTGGACCAATCTTATGTTTAAATTAAATAATTTAAAACAAATTAAACAAAAAATAAATTACTTACAGAATTTATTTTACTGAAATGTAAAGTATAAAAAGATCAAGTCGAGTGTGTGACACTCTGTCTTTACGGTACTTCCGGATAAAAGACGTCTATCTCCCAGGATACAATAATCTCCACAAATTGTAGTAGCACTCCAAACAATTTGTACGGCGAACCAAACCTGTGTTCTATAATCTCTTAAATATTTCTCCTAAAAAAATAATATGAAGAATAATAAATAATGCAAAAAGAGCACAAAAGGGAAGGGAATAGATTTTCTGGATATTTTTTAATTGTCAAAAACCTGCTGGAAATCAAAATTTTTTATTTATATATACTCATAACTTAATTAGGAAAATCCCATTAATGAAGTGTATTCATTGATTTCACACTCAAGGCTTTCAAAAACTAGGTCAGCATATTACGTATATATAATCATATGATCTCCCAAGCCTGTTGTATTATTGAGCTTATATACAAGCAGGGCCGGCCCTGCCCTAAGGCACGTAAGGCTTGTGTCTTAGGCCTCATATTTTGGTCTAAAAATAGGGCCTTCAAATTTAAAAAATTGTTATAGGTTTAATTTATTTATTTTTTTTGGTTTTAAGATCAATTTAAAGGGCCCCAAATGTTTTATTGGGCCCATGTATAATTTAGCCCATATTTATTTATAAATGTGTTTGGCCCATATTTATTAAAATGAAAATATATAAATAAATAAATAAAAAACAATAGGGCTCCTAAATTTGGTAAAACATATAAACATATATAACATAGGGCCTCTAAATTTGGTAAAATATTATAGGTTCAATGTTTTTTTTTTTTTGGTTTTAGGATCAATTTAAAGCGCCCCAAAATATTTTTTGGGGTCCATGTATGATTTACTCCATATTTATTTATAAGTGTAGTTTGGTCCATATTTATTAAAATGAAAATATATATTAAAAAAAAGTGTTTGGGCTCAAGAAAAATAATACATACAATATATGGGCCCTATTTTTTTTATTTTTTATTTTTACCTTCTTTATCTATTAGATTTTAGTAGAAATATGACGATAGGTTACCTTCTAAAGGGAATGAGATTCTTATTGTAATAATCTCATTGTCACGCTACCAACGGTGGTATTTCACTGAGTTTGGTGAGTTAGTGATTTTGAGTTTGTGTCTAAATTTGGAGGTGATGAGGTTCCTATCCATCTTTATTGTCGGCTTCTACTTACTAAGATCTGGTGAAATTAAGATTAATGGTTGTTTTAAGAACTAGCTATTTTAGTTAACTTTTTAATTTTGTATGACAAAATAAGTAGAAATATAGAGAGAAGGTAACTGACTTTTTGGTAGTAACTTTTTGACTATTAATAGGTTGTCAAACTTACCCTAAATTATGATTATATCTTAAGAAAGTACTTGTATTTTTTCAGCGTTATATCGATTTCGTCTCACTTACCCAGTTTCCCAATAGGTAGGGAACTCCTTTGGTCACATTCGGGATGATCCTTATGTCTCGTTTGGCAAAATCCCTTTTTAGTTTAAAAGTCAAAAAGTTACTAAAATAATCAAAAAGCAAAAAATTTATATTAAAAAGTCAAAGATTTTCTTTTATCACTATTTTTTGTACATCTTTTCGTAAAAAATCAAAAAATCATCTAAAACATACTAATTTTTTTAAATCATAGTTTAGCCAAATAGTCAAAAAGTTACTAAAAAAATATGTTTCCAAACGAGGCTAGTGTTTGTCACCCTCTTATCTATTTGTATTAAGCGGAGTTGACTTTTTGACAATAACTTCTTGACTATTTTAATAGATTGTCAAACTTGTCCTAAATTATGACTAAAGGTATACCTTATATAAATTAATTAATTAATCATACTTAAACATTCATATGATCAGATTATTTTTGTTTTGAAAAGAAACTAGATGACAAATGTGATTTTAAAAATGAATCTTCTACTCAATGTGTGATCAATTTAATTTTTTAAATCAATGATTACTTGACGAACTTTATAAATAAATGATTTAGATCATTTCGCCAGCCTTAAAATAACCCCCACCCTTGGTCAAAACAGGGCCTGTTGTGACTATGTCACAGTAGACCTCAGTCATCCATGTTTAATTGTGGTTCAAATACTAAGACTACCTGAAAACCTGCCATATATGGCTTATGTTAGAGGAATTTGTTATTGTTCATAAAAAGATGTTTTAATCATATGGTCAATCTCTAACCTCGACTAATGGGTACTCTTAGAATGTAACATTACTTGCACGATGGTCCGAACTAATGATGTAGTTCAAAAATTCATCTGTATAACATGATGGCTCACACTTTTTACATAGTTGGGAAATAAGAAATGAGATAATTTGAAATTGATGATTTTAGTAATTTTTTAACTTTTGAAAAAGCTTCTGGATTTAGAAAATTGCTAAAAAATTAAAATCTTTGTATGTAGAAATGTGAAATGGTTTATAATTTTTTTTCTAACTGATGAGAAATAGAATTTTTGCCTTTTTTTTTGGGCTTAGCTCATGTTTAGCCCATATTTATTTATAAATGTGTTTGACCCATATGTATTAAATGAAAATATATAAATAAATAAATAAAAAACAATAGGGCCTCTAAATTTGGTAAAATATTATAGGTTCAATATTTTTTTTTTTTTTTGGTTTTAGGATCAATTTAAAGGGCCCCAAATGTTTTATTGGACCCATGTATAATTTAGCTCATAT